AGGTGTTTAGGGGCAATCAGGCAGGCAGGGGAGGAGGTAGGGGGATCAGGAAGGCAGACAGAGGTAGTTAGGGGTGATCAGGAAGGCAGGCAGGTGAGTGGTTTGGAGAAGGCAGTCCCATATTGCGAGAGGGATGTCCGACTGCTGGTTTAGGATATCCCACGAGAGGTCCCAGATTGGAAAGGGTGCAGACCATAATTTCACTCACATTCTAGAAGAAAGTCATATACAAGTGGTAGCACTTAAAAATAATGGCTAAATATAGGCAAGCAATTGGGTAAGTGTAGCCAATCCAGGAAGGAAGAGGAGTCTAAACAAAAGGACACAAATTGGAATAAATGCCACCACCCTATAGGTTCACGAAGGCTGTTGGAATGAATGCGAATCCTTGTGTTGGAGGTTAATAAGAAATTAAAATTAAGCTAGATATTGGAGTCTCTTGGAATAGGGAACCATAGGGAAGGTTTTACAAATGATGCAATCAGAAACAGACAGGTGTGTTTTGAAAACCTTGCCTAACTCAAAAAATATGAATCAACTTCAAGTCTAATATAGGTAGTAAAGCAGGAGAGTGACAAGATGACAATCATGGTTTAGGAAATCTACTGACAGCAGCAATTTGGAATGGCATGAGGGAAAGAGACAGGAATCAGCAGTAATCAGTGGGAATGAGGAAGAAAAGGGTTAGATTGGTAGTAGCCAGGAAAGAGTGATTCTGACACACGTTCCCAAGACATGAAAGTGCTCAGAAACTGGTGATTACATATCTTGGGATCTCAGGGACACATCTCTGATTCCAAATGTTTTGATCCATTCTTCTCACTAAGCCTTCAGAATTCCAAAATATCTGTGTCAAAATTACAGTCTCTGGATTCTTTTATCAACCCTGTCAGAGTGTGAGTACTGTTCTATTATTTATAAAACAAGTCACAACCAACAAGGAGACTGAAACTTAGACCAAAAGCAAGGATGATGTAAAAGCAGTGTCATTTGAATCACTGCTGGAAAGTAGGCTGTCTGCAAAGCAGAGGGCACAGAGCAGACGCATGGAGATCATGGGGTACTCACAGTTACTCAGTCTATGCAAATAATTGATAGCAGTTTACACAAAGTTCATTATTTCTGCTACAAGTTATTCAACTGGAAACCTGCTCTGACTTTAGAATTTCACCAACAGCAGCAAGTTTTTTCCAAACCCAGAGGAACTGGAAGGGGAGGATGAAGACGTTCAGATGGAAAGAATGAGAACAGCGAATGCTGTGACGATCCCGGACTCTGATGAGGTGGAACTACTAGCAATAGTCTTCATCATATACTACTGTCTGTCAGATAAAGTGGGCAACTAGCTAATCTGAATTTGGGGGTTGGGGACAGACACACACACACACACACACACACACACACTGAGGTTCTTTCATCCTTGCCCAGAGTTCATTACTTGATTTCAGTAAATATTCAAAGCCAGCAGAGATCCAAGAACACACACAAGTTGCTTTTTCAGTCATAGTTTTGGTGGGTTAGGCTAACTTACAAAACCTAAAAAAGATTTGTGAACAAAGCAATTAAGAAGAGAGAGTTCACATGAGGTGTATGTGTGTATGTGTGCACGTGTGTGTGCCTATGAGTGTGTCTTTTAATAGTCTTATTGGTTTGATGAAAGTCTCTGTTCCTTTTTTTTGAGGAAGGGCAAGCATGAATCAGATGATACAGTGCAAATGTCCTTTTGCAGATTGGGAGAATTTGCTTTAAAATGGCAGTTTTGAAGAGAACTGTTTGGATTCACTATTTTACATTGGGAAAGGTTTGGCCAGAAGGAGGGAGTATGGGGCACTCACTCATCTCAAGGTGATAATGTTGTTATTCCCTCATCTTTGCAGAAACCAGTTATCATCGCCAGTTGTCTCCGGAAGGAATATGTAGGCAAAAAGAAAAACTGCTTTGCGAAGAAGAAGAAGAAGAAGGAAGAAGGAAGAAGGAAGAAGGAAGAAGGAAGAAGGAGAAGAAGGAGAAGGAGAAGGAGAAGAAGAAGAAGAAGAAGAAGAAAGTTGCCACAAGAAATGTCTCTTTCTGTGTTAAAAAAGGTTGGAAGCAGTAGTTCTGCTGGCGGGGTGATCTTGACCTCTGAAGATGAGGTTTTTTAAGGGAATAATGCCATCCAAATCTGGGATGATCCACTGATAAACATGAAAGGCAGCCAGCTCATCAGCAGTAGAGCTCTGACCCAGTCTGCTTCACAGCCTGTTACAGCCATTTGTCCTTTGCATAGAAGACATTAATGTCTGCTCTGCTAAAACAAACAAAAAAGAACCACCACCACAAAGGAGGCAGTGTTTATGTTAAGAAGGATGGGATAGCTTTCTTAATAACATTAATTACACAGCAGGGAATACTGAACAGAAGGGAAATCACTAGGCTGCGGTAGTTCATTCTTCATACCAAACAAATGGCACGTTTCAGGAAAGTGTTGGTGAAATGCAACAGGCACTGGAATCAAAATTGGTTTCACTTCCATCTCAGCCCATGACTTTGGGCAAGATATTGATCCTCTTTACACCTTAGTTTCCTCACCCATAAAATGGAGGGACATAAGAACACTCGAGTTTGTGTGTGGGTGAGGAATAAGTGAAATAATGTCCATAGCACATTTGACATAAAGCTTGACACACAGCGAAAGCCCTCAAATCGTATGTGCTTTTATTTTTATAATTGTTTGCGGTTATAATTCTGAGCACACTTTTTTTTCAGGTGAAGTTATAGGTCTGTTAGGACACAATGGAGCTGGTAAAAGTACAACTATTAAGATGATAACTGGAGACTCAACACCAACCGCAGGAGAGGTCAGTGACTCACACAGAGGTGTGCTCATGAACGCTGCCTCGATGAGACAGTTAGAATGCATATTGATGACAATCTTTAAAAGCACAGGCGATCTTTTCCTATTAATCAATGTGACTCATGCATTGAATGAAGAGGATAAATTAATACAAATTTCTCTCTTTAATTCCAAAAAGTAGTTAGGTGTTGAAAAGAGCTGCATGTTATCTATAGTATGCCTTTTATTGAATGAAAAAGTAGAGACATTAAAAGGAGAGATTTTGGAAAGGAAAGCTAAACATTCGCTTTACTGGAGGTCAGAGATCTTGGTTTTGTGGATTGATGTATCCTGAGAACTTGTTAAATTGAATTGCCAAGATCCAGTATTTACTCAGAAAACAGAGATCATATGTTAGAGGGAAATTGAGTAACTGTCTAAATTCCATAGCAAATACTAGAATAGTATATGAATGGCACTTGGCTGTATGTCCAGCCTAAGTTGGGTGAAATGACGGACAGAGGTCCAAAGTCAAACAATGGAAAAACAAATAAGCAAGCTTGAATTCAACCATGGTGATGGGCTGAGTAATAAAGCCTAAACTAGAATGGAGGGATAGAACAATGTGGAATATCTGCCTTTTGATGTATCGAGTTTCTGGCATTTTTTCCCCAGAGCTAAGTGATTACTTACGGACTTGTGTACTCTTGGCAGCCGTGTGTGTAAGAGGAGGACATCATTGCAGTACGCTCACATGCGTGCGTGCGCGCGCGCGCGCACACACACACACACACACACACACACACACCTCAATTTTGGCCAGAAGGTGAGAATGAACTTTTTGTGTAGGTGATTTTGAAAAGGAACAGCGGAGGGGACGCCCTCAAGTTCCTGGGGTACTGCCCTCAGGAGAACGCGCTGTGGCCCAACCTGACAGTGAGGGAGCACCTGGACGTGTTCGCAGCTGTGAAAGGGCTGAGGAAAGCAGACGCCGCCGTCGCCATCACACGGTACCTGGGGGGAGACACACCTGTCCTCTACTAGAGCGATGTCATAGATTCACAAAAAACTAAGGAAGGACCGTTCTAACTGATGACTCCATACTTACTGGTATGGGTGAAGACTTGTTCACCTAGACCCCAATTCAGCGTTATGTTCTCTCATTTTAAGCCTGGAGAGGAAAAGTCTATTGATTATTCTTAATACAAAAATAAGTCATTAAAAATGTGACTTTAAAAACCATGAAAGGGCCCTGGCTGGTGTGGCTCAATTGGTTGGAGCATGGTCTCATTCACTGAAGGGTTGTGGCTCCATTCCCATCAGGGCACATATCCAGGTTGGGGGTTCAATCCCCCGCATGCAGGAGGCAACCTATATATGTTTCTATCTCTCTCCCTCCCTCCCTCTCCCTTCCTTTTTCTCTAAAATCAATAAAGTAAAATAAAAACAATGGAAGGTTCATAAAGTATCCAAGATAATTTGAATTTTTTAAAATTTTATTTTTCCATTACAGTTGACCTTCAATATTATTTTATACTAGAGGCCCAATGCACAAAATTTGTGCAAAAATAGGCCTGCCTTCCCCCGGCTACCCACACTGGCTTTCCTTGCAGCCCTGGCTTCATCCGGAAGGTTGTCCAGTCTAATTAGCATATTATGCTTTTATTATTATAGACTAGAGGCCTGGTGCACAAAATTCGTGCATTCAGGGGGTCACTCGGCCAGGCCTTGGGAGCCCTATATAATAAAAGGGAGCCCTTGGGCCCTAAATGGTTTGGCTCAGGAGATAAGAGCATAGGCCTGTGGACTGAAGGGTCCCAGGTTCAATTCCGGTCAAGGGCATGTACCTTGGTTGCAGGCACATCCCCAGTAGGAGGTGTGCAGGAGGCAGCTGATCGATGTTTCTCTCTCATTGATATTTCTAACTCTCAATCCCTCTCCCTTCCTCTCTGTAAAAAATCAATAAAATATATATATTTTTAAAAAAGGGATCTCTTTGGGGATGTCAGACTGATGGCAGTTGGACATCCTTAGTGCTGCTGTGGAGGCAGGAGAGGCTCCTGCCCCCACCGCTGCGCTCGCCAGCCATGAGTCCGGCTTCTGGCTGAGTGGTGCTCCCCTTGTGGGAACGCACTGACCACCAGGGGCAGCTTCTGCATTGAGCGTCTGACCCCTGGTGGTCAGTGTGCATCATAGCAACCGGTTGTTCCACCATTCAGTTGATTTCCATATTAGCCTTTTATTATATAGGATTAGTTTCAGTATACAGTTTAATGGTTAGACAATCAAATATAGTTTCAATGTTATGACCACTCTGAATAGTGCTTTTAAAGATTCTGCACTGTAGACTTCTGATTTGCCCTGTCTCACATGTGCCTTCTGGTTGTGCGCTGGTAATGTGGGTTGACTCACTGTTTCCTTCAGGTTGGTGGAGGCGCTCAAGCTGCAGGAGGAGCAGAAGCGCCCTGTGAAGGCCTTATCAGAGGGAATCAAGAGAAAGGTAGGGGCGGGGGCTGGGGTTACTCCTCCAGGCCCACTGATCCCAGATCCGTGCCAGATGTGCTATTCCTCTCCTTCCAGCTGTGTTTCACGCTGAGCATCCTGGGAAACCCATCGGTGGTGCTGCTGGATGAGCCGTCCACGGGCATGGACCCCGCGGGGCGGCAGCAGATGTGGTGAGAGGATGTTATGAGCAACCCAAAGTGAAAGTGTTTTACTTAGTAAATGAAAGACATCAATATTATCTGGAAAACCAATAGTATGGAGGGAAATCTGAAAGCCTACTGCAGCCAATTTTTATGGAGGAAAAAAAGATATTCTAACAAATTAGTACTCAAGAATTTCATTCTTATCTTAGATCATGTGGGTGTGCATGGCCCAATTTTATACTCAGATCAATCTACATTAAGTTTTTCTGCGACATCTCCGAATACATCTGTGACATCTATTGGAACACAATAACTATTTAATTATTTTAGGATATATTTTGAAATCTGTCATTTTGCACTTTGGGGTATATGTCATTATTATCATGTTGTTAAATAAGTTCTCTCTTTCTCTATCTTTTTTCCTACTGCCTTTGCTTAAAAATTCTTGAAATTTAGCATTTTTCTAAACCTTTTACCCAATGTCATTCTCTGCATTATTCAGCCCAAGCCATGCACTAAATTATTCACTCTAACCAGTAGTTTGGTTATTTCCATGCCTGTTACCTCTGGAAAAAAAAAATCCTGTCTTTTTCTGATCTGAAATCACTGATTATTTCATATGTGCCCATGGAAACTTCTTTAATTTTTTCTTCTCATATTACCTTGGCATTCCCCCTGGTGAACATTTCCCTTGCTCTAACTTTAGGCAGGCCATCCGGGCCACCTTTAGAAACACGGAGAGGGGCGCCCTCCTGACCACCCATTACATGGCGGAGGCGGAGGCCGTGTGTGACCGTGTGGCCATCATGGTGTCCGGGAGGCTGAGGTGAGTGCCCACACGAGGTCCCCAGTCACACCCTGCACAAAGGACATTTCCCTGCACAGGGCATCACTGTGAGGAGCAGGAGGGCTGGCTGCTCCGGCTCTCCCTGGCCCTGTCCTGGCCTCCAGAAGCCAAAAATCACCAGCAGTAGATTTCTCTCTCCCTTTTCTTGATTGACTTCCTCCTCTTCCTCCTCTTCCCTCCAGATGTATCGGTTCCATCCAGCACCTGAAGAGCAGATTTGGCAAGAATTACCTGCTGGCAATGAAGGTGAAGACCCTCGCCCACGTGGAGCCCCTGCACAGAGAAATCCTGAGGCTTTTCCCCCAGGCTGCTCGGCAGGAAAGGTAAGTCCAGGCGGTGGTGTGTTTCACCTTGGTCTCGGTTTTATTTTCTATCTTCTCATTCTTTTTTTTTTTTACTTTATGGTCATTGTGAAAAATTACTAGAGACAGTCCCGAACCCAAGGGCTACCACAGGAGGGAAACAAGAGAACAGAATGCTCATTTGGAAACTTATTCTGTAAGGGAACGTGCCAGGTACTAACCAGTACATGAACCTAGTTCATTTCAGTTGTCCTTTTAGAGGGTGAAGCCACACCCATTCAAGGAGATCAGCTGTATAACACCCAGTGCCAGGCAGCAGTCCACCTCGCTGAATGGTATCTCTTAGCGTTTTTATTATCAGTAACATTATCAAGTAATGAGTTGCCCTGGAGGCTCAGATAGGTTAGACCAGTGGTCGGCAAACCGCGGCTCGCGAGCCACATGCGGCTCTTTGGCCCCTTGATTGTGGCTCTTCCACAAAATATCAAGTGCGGGCGCGCACATACAGTGCGAAGTTGACTTAAAACTTTAAGTAAAGTTTATTAAGTTAATTTTAGGGAATGTTGTGGAGTGAAAGAAGATGTAGTGTCGAGGATCAAGAAAGGTATGTTGAGATGGTTTGGAAATATAGAGAGGATGAACGAAAGGAGATAGATGAAACAAGTATACAAGACGAGTATGGATGGGAGAGTTGGAAGGGGTCGACCTCAGCCAATGTACCTCAATCAGATTGAGGACGTTTTTAGCAAAGTCCAGCTTAGGAGTACCTAATTAAGTTAATAACAATGTACCTACCTATATAGTTTAAGTTTAAAAAATTTGGCTCTCAAAAGAAATTTCAATCGTTGTACTGTTGATATTTGGCTCTGTTGACTAATGAGTTTGCCGACCACTGGGTTAGACAATGCCAAGTAACTTGTGGTGGGGCCAGGAGAATCAAGAGAAAGGTAGGGGCGGGGCTGCCTCCTGCACACCTCCTACTGGGGATGTGCCCGTAACCAAGGTACATGCCCTTGACCGGAATTGAACCTGGGATCTTTCAGTCCGCAGGCCTATGCTCTTATCTCCTGTGATAATAACCACTATGCTGTAGACCCAAAATAATACTGAATGTAAACAGA